ACAAACAATAATTTCGCACATGTGAAGCCATGAGACTTATAAACTCATTTTGGATTTCAGAAGAAAGATAAGATGTTGATGTATGCTTGTTTTTAACATGCTCTAAATGCTCTCTCATTATTGGGTCATATTTTTGCTAATAACTGCAAAAGTGACAGGAAATTTCCAGGGTTTTTGTTTGAGGTTATGTCCTCAGTATGACCACGAAATGCAAGATTCTGAGAAGCTAAATATTTTGTACAATCCAGCAACCGTCGTAGTACATCTCTCCATTTATTGTTTTTTTGCTGAAATTGCCTTTGCAGCTCTTCATCAATGCCACTTTGAAGACGAATTCGGTGCTCAGTTTCTTTCCAAGCAGCAAATGACTCACAATGACTGTCACTATTTTCATGGGTATTTAGCGCTTTTCAATATTTTTCCACTTAGAAAATCCATGCCTTGTTTTGAAAGCAGACCGACTACTGGATGTCATACATGTAGATGAAAAAAGAATACAACAAAAGCAATATGCTGCTTTATGTAGAGGTGAATACACCAACCAGGAACACTTGACCTCTTGTTCATTCAGAAGGCATCATTTGAACCAAAATGCAGTCATAGAACGCCCATCTTTGGCATCAAATGGACCTTCTTTATGTTGAAATTCAAGTGTTCCAACTTTAACAATCTGTGTGTGATGTGCATGTGTTACAACTGCTGAGCCTGTTGTATCAAACTTCATGAATCCAATATTCATGTGTGTTAAAATATTTATTAGGTCATCCTTTTTAAGCTTAGCACACTATTCTGTGGATTTGTTTCTGACAAAGTGGAATACTCTTGTTCATTATTGTAGCTTTCAACAGGACAGAGAACAGTTTCTTCATTGTTTTCTTTTTCAAATGAAATAGCATGTTTACAATCTTGCACTTTGACCTTTTTGCTGCCATCAAAAGGAACAGATGCTGGCTTACTGGTGTCATCACTTCCAGCAAGAAAAGCTCTCATCAATTTGCTTTACTCCAGCATTGAAGCTGCAAATTGTGCACATCTTTTGCATCCCTGTGCCCCTATTTTCTTTTTTTTTGACATGATGGGCTAAAAGAATAAATTAATAAATAATGACTACACTATTTAGTTGCAACATGCAAATTGTCGATGAAAGGAAGCATTCTACTTTCCTAAGTTCCTAACCACAAATTATATTTAAATTATACAATTATAGTTGCAATTCAGGACTAGTTGGGTACATCTGGACCTGGTTTCACTTTAACTGCCACCCATACTCATGTTAATTAATGTGACACAACAGTAAGAAAATCAATGCAGATGAGTGTATAAGCTGGTAAATCATGCTTATGAGCACCAAATAAATTACTGGCAGTTGCTAAATCACATTTAAAAACTCTATAGGTTTAACTACATGAACACTACAGGAGACAAGTCTGAAATTGCTCGAATGAATATTACACACACTGTGGAGAAGGGTGTAATCATAACATAATATAACCCTAGAGGCTTAAAGGCTATATTTAATATTAAGGGTTTTGATAGAATGAAAAAAACCTAAATATAAGTTAACTAATTAGTGGTGCTAGATTACAGTTCCTAGATTAAGTCGCGAGTACATCTAGATCTAACATTAATGTTAGACCTGTTATTTCCATTTTTCAGTCTTAGGTTTGGATCTAGATGTAATAATAATGACAGAAATTTAGTTTATACACCTAAACTAGACCTTAGATTTGGGTGCATAGATTGAAAACACCTTATATTGAATCTATCCAGATCCAGATATAACCCTGCCTCATAAATTCTAGATTTAGATTTATTAGGCCTAACTTTTAGAACAAATGTTACATCTAGATCTATTAACTTAGTCATTAGATCTATCCCAGTGCAATGCCTAGTTTAATAGTTAGTATAGGTCTAAGTACGCCTATAATATAGGCTACAATTTGTATGACGATGGACCTACAGTCTAGAAATAAAGTTATAGCTGCAATTTGACCTGAAGTCTAGTACATTAGATGGTGTAAGACATGATTTACAATCAGCCAATACAATTACAAACCACTACATTAGGCCTATAATATTTACTAGATCTAGATCTAGGCCTTGCCTGTTACATATATTGCCAATCTTGCACACCAGTTAATATGTTACATCAATCTCGTATTTTCTTTTTGTTGAACATGCACTTACTTGTACGCTGTACTCTAGGACTTGTATTTGATCTACAGATAAATGATGGAATAGTGTAATTTACTTCTGTATGTCAATTCAGTCTCACTGTATTTCAGTGAGCAGCTTTTAAAAGTTAAAACTGCAAGCATAATACACACAAATAACGTAACACTGTGTCGTATTTACTTAATGTAGGGCAGTTATGCTATATCCTAGGGGAGGGCATAATTATTAATTAATAGGCATTATAGGCTAGAGGAAATTTTGTGCCCCTTCACACCTGTGCCCGGGGGCAACTGCCCCCTTGCCCCCTCTTGCTATGCCACTGCTCCCATCCTAACATTCTGCTTGTTCTTAATGTATTTGAAGAAATCTGTACTTTTACATTTGCAAAACCTTCGTAAGTATACATTAGTTACACATAATAATTAGTGAATCCTGCTACACTAACAATTAATACATTATTAGAAATGATAAATTTTGTGTAATATCATTGATTTTATTTGAATTGCAAGCCATAAAATTTTAAGTATAAATTTTTACACCTCTTAGCACAATCTTCAATTCTCTGGTTCGATTGTTTTTACTTCACATTTTTCACCAACTTATGTTGATGTATCACACTGATATATTCCTTTCCTTTATTCTCTTTATTTAATTTTAAATATTTTTCTATTTTCTGAGACATTTGATCTAAAAAACATAATATATTCACACAAAAAAAACAGAAAGTAAACACTTGTGTCATATATGTTCCATTACAAAATACTGTGTACAATACTGGTTTTTCCTATCAGTTACCCTATGATAAATTATCTTAACTATTTGTTATTACACACTATAGTCACTAAGAATGATACGTCTGTTTTATATTCAATAAATAAAACCTGAATCATTAGATTTACAGGCAATAATATTATCTTTTTCACAGGTACAAATTAAAGTTATATTAACATAAATAAAACATGCAAGTACACAGGTTATTTGAATACACTTGTAAGTACTAAAAATACTTTTCTTTTTCTCTACCCAACAAATACAACCAAAAATATCTTGAAACAAAAGCTTCTTTACTTAAATTTCCATAGGAAGACAAATATATACATTAAAAAGTGATTTAGTTTATTGCTTTTATCATGCACTTCGGTCCACGTATTCTTTGGGTTGAAAAATGTTACATAGCAAAAATCCTAATTTAAGAACAGAACATAATGTTTTACCTGTGGCAGTTCAGTACTTCTTGTTGCAACTTTAGGTGATGAAAAATCATCCTTATCTGTTTTACATGTACTTCTCTTCAAGTCTAACTGAGAATACAGTAATTTTCCTTCTAAAATATTGCTTGCACTTGTTTCATTTAAGACATTTTTGCTAAAATCTGGAAAAAAAACCCATTAAACTTTAGACTACTTGAAATAAATATTTAAATAAAATCCAAAAGGTCATGCACATAAGTTTTTTAGGCTTAGTTTAAGTGATGTGTGTAATATTCCAAAATATTAATTTTTTTAAATGTACAAATTGTGCAGTCTATTGATTTATATGCATGTTATTAAAACAATGTATTACAAAATATTACACGACCAAGACTATCTGAAACAAGCTCAGATGCGATGTTTTACTATAGTAACTCATTCTGAATGTTACTGCTTCCATTAGTTATAATTTCCAGTAACCTCTCAAAAAGCAGAAATCACACAAGTACTGAAAAAATATATCAAAGCCGACATTATTACCTTATATTCATAGCAATGGGTATTAATACATTTATACAATTTAAATTCATGTGAGCATTTTATGTTATGTATTTTATATGTATCAGTGGAACAAATGTGACAATTTCTCTCTTAATCTACACTAACATGCACACACACACTCAAAAAAAAGTGATGTTAATAAAAATCAGGTAAAACAGGCATTAAAAAGTAACATACACCACTTAAAGAGAGAAAAACATTTGAAGACTTCCATAATAACATTAAAGAGACCTAATATGTATAAATGAATTACTGATTGCCTTAAACTTTTATTTCTTATTATGCTGAGTGAACCAACATTTACTATACTTCATTTTGTCATCTTTAAATGCAAGATATGACAGATTGTTTGAAACAAAAAGGGCAATATTTTTTTTATGAGAAGACAAGAATTAATTTTGTATGTACTATAGATATGGCATAAGTATAAAAGAGAACCAACATAACCTATCATATCAAAATATTTGAACATATGATAACAAAGTTTGGTTTACCTTACACAATGTAAAAATTCATCCATAGCAAATACTTAAAACATTGGGTATAGTTAACAAGGAAGTCTAAAGTTTTGTTTTTACTATGTAGTGTATATAATAGCATTTTTTTTCTACTCAAATGAGCAGTTAAAAATGTAACTGCAATGACCATAAACATTTATTGAACTTTTTAGGTACATATAACATCAAGATTTACAAACAAAATTACAGATGTGACATTTTATAATTTCATACATATTGCAACATCTAATTCCAGACATAAACATTTTGAAGAAATGACCAACAGATAATTATTTCTCTCAAGCATTTGACTTAAAATAGCAATATCCCTATCTTCCAACAGTTTCATCCCAAGGAGTAATAGCTTTTAATCTTTTTTAGTTTCTTATCCTAGCTAGTAAATGCAAAGGTGCTCTGCAAGTTAATAAATATCTTAGTATTATTACCCAAAACTGCCATTTCCACACTAGGCTAATTCAATGCAATTTTCTGTGCAGTTAATGCAGTTGTAACATTATAATAAAATCAATGCATAATATTGTTGTTATATTAAGTATATTTTTTATCTAAATAATTAATTTGTTTTGATATATGAAATTAAATCAAACTAAACATTTTTCATATATGAAGGGTTTAATAAAATTTTCAATTCTACTAAAAGCCAGAGAAATTTTACCAGCTGGTGATGAGGTATAGCACAATGTGATGTGAAAATTTAAGATATATTTAAACAAAATGTTTATCAAAAATTATGTGTTATAAGAAAAACTATATAAAGAAAGCCTCATACCATAATGAGACTAATATATTTTACTACAATAAATAAATTTACACAAAATAGCTGTAACATGAAATACAAAGAACTGGCTAATTTAGATTATTAAATTTCATTACCTTTTAATATGTTATACTTAAAACACAGACTTTTCATTGTATAAAACAAAAACTAGTAACTGAATCTTTGTGTCAAGTTGTCATATTGGAATTGTCTGAACCATAACAAATTCTCTGCATATAAGAATGTGTCATTTTTAAGGAAGAAGTAATTTACCATTAATTGTTTTCCATACATGTCAAAATATGATCTTTGTAAAAGACTGAAGTCAAAGTTTCTTTTCAATCTTTCATACAGTGTAAATATTTTGATCATTCTCCTTTCTGCATTAATTATTACTTTTATAAACTTACAATGAATCCTCTGAAAAAAAACCTAATGATTTGTTTTCAATTAACTGACTATCATAAATTTTTATTTCATAGATAATACAAAAGAATGGTCTCTTTCGTGGATCAAATAATGTCTTTTTAAACTTCCAGCTCTTGTGAATGTTCTCCCACAGACATTACATGAATGTGGTTTTTCTCCAGTGTGGATTAAAAGATGATCCTTTAAGTGACTGCCTACTCTGAACTTCTTTCCACACCTGTCACAAGAGAATGGCTTCTCTCCTGTGTGAATCAAGTGGTGAATTTTTAAACTTCCAGCATGTGTAAATCGTCTATCACAAATTTCACAAACATAAGATTTCCACAGATGTCTTTCTGAAGGAATTCCACACTTTAATTCTTCATTGTTTTGTATCAAATGATCATCCTCTTCACACCCTTCATCATTTTCCACTTCGCTTTCAACCAAAGCTGAAACAATGCCACATTCTTTTGATAAGATGGGGGGTTCACCTTTTACAGCAACACTTTCCTGGAAAAATACAAGCTTCGAGTCATAAAGAATGAACATCACAAACTGATGTTTCAAAATATTGGTAAATAACTGTTTATGAACAGAAATTTTACATAAAAACACACATATACACATAAAAACTAGTACCAATCTGTCTTGATATATAGTTTGTTACTGAATCAGTTCACTTCAAGAGACATACTCAAACAAACCTGTTGAAAATACCCTACACCCCTAAATAATACATTACTTAAATAAGACAAGTTTTAACAGTTTCAACGTATTACTCATGAACACCTAAACACTGTCCTACATTGCTATTAGTAAACAAAAAATCACCTACTGTATATTAGAGAATAATATTGAAACAAAACTAAAACCTAAGTTCCAGTCACAAAAGCAAAGATGACTCTTCCTGAACAATAACAAACAAACAAACAAAAAAAGCTCTTACTAGGGCTATCTCATGAAGTGCTATTGAATTTTGATGTTTTTTTCTTGATTCAATGTCAAATTCACAAGCAAGTGATCCTCCTTCTAACTCAATTTCTGGATTTGTTTCATCAAATAAGTTTCGTTTTGGATCTAAAAACAAGAGGATTATAAAAAACAATATAGTAACTTTAGAAAACATATGCTATCAAAGTTTAAAAAATAACAATGTACAGGTACATAAATTCATCACTTGGATGATGGTGTTAAATTGGTATTACACATATACTGAAAAAATAGTGATTTTTTGTTAGTTAAACTTTGCACATCACTTCTCAAAAGCTATATGCACTAGCCATCCCTAATTTTAAAGTGACAGACTAGAGGGAAGGCAACTAGTCAATACCAACCACTGACAACTCTTGGGCTACTCTTTACTGAGGGATTCACAGTCACATCATAATGCCCCACAACTGAAAGGGCATATTTTGTGATGGGTTATTATCCCACAACCTGTAGATTGCAAATCGAGCACCCTAACCATCAGGCTTTGCCACTGACAATAATGGAACAATCATTCTTTTCCATTTATATGAAATACGTTGATTCTCCATAGTCTGATATCATAACTGGAAATAAAAAAATATTGTACATCCATCAAAATACTAATCCTGATATTAATATTTTGCTATATGTGCATGTAGTTTAAATCAAATATCAGTAACTTAACCTAAAGTAATGAGACATTACAACCAAATGCAAACTGCATAATTAATAAATCCCATTATTTTTAAAGGATTGATGGTTTTGTTGTGACATAGTAACAAACACATCTATAAAGAAAACAATTCAGCTTAGACAGAATCAACATGACATCCTAAACAAGGGCTCTTTCTTCATAAAATTTTACTAAAGAAGAATATTTGTGTTTGGTGTCACTACACAATGGGTTAGCTGTACTGTGTCCAGTGCAGACCCCAAATTTAAAAAAAATAATATTAAAGAACAAATTGTTTCCTGATTTAATAGATAATACAAATAACAGACCCTGACCTTAATTTTGAAGGCACTAGCAAATAGTTGCAAGTTACTTTTTTCCTGAAGTAAATTTGGGACTGCTACTAGCAACAAGATTATTATTCTCTAAATTGTAAATGTGTCGTAATTAAATACTAATAAATATGTAGATATCTTACCTATATGTATAAATCTTCCATGGCATGTTTTATTTTCAATACTTCATTTTAATTATATGTAAGTTTTCATTTTAACTATTTTATAAAAGATTGAAGATGCTCAATTTGTAAAGAAAGTGATAAAACTAAGCCATGATCACCTGGATCAACAAAGTCTATAACATCATCTTATACTAAAACAAATATTTTATTATCAAAAGCCAAAAGGTGGCAAAGCATTAGAAACCAATAGGCCTACCATTTGTGTTGATCATGGGCCAATTAAGAGGAATGTGTGAAAAGTGCAATTTACCTAATTTCTATTATCTTATTACCTTCAATGAGCAACCACTCAAGTACAGTACTTCTAACCACAAGGCCAGCAAATTTATATTACATAGACTGAATGGCTTGAGTCTAACTGGCTGGCCCAACTGTTAATTGCCTTGGCAACCGTTCAAACTAGTTGAAGCTGTGGTCTTGCCACCCCCATTTCCCAATACTTAGCCTGGTATGCCATGCAGCTCAAATGGGGATTGGAAAACCAGCTTGGCACCAGCATGTGAACCAATTTTGTTTATCACAGATATGGTAACCTTCTGTACTTAGAATCTTGCAATATAAGTGGCTGAAATGCATGTAACATGAATGTATTAATATTTTTAAATTAGGAACCAGTAGATCTTTCTGAAATGTGTACTATAAACTTTCTTCTAGTGCCTCCTAAGATTTAATAGCTAAATTAAAACACAAACAAGCAATTAGCTAGTTTACTATCATAAAGTTCAAGCCCTGTACAAGCCAGAAATAAAAGTACCTTATTATCACCAACAAAGATACAGTTAAGAACATATATTTTTATGTATAATATGGAGTAAGCAAGTATGCTAACTACAACTGGTTATCTCACTGGTTATATCAAAGACATGCAGTTTCATAATTTTGCAATTTTAACAGTGACAGAAAATATAAAATTATCAGTATTTTACAAAATAAATGTACCTTAATAACTTTGGCACATTTCCATGTATTTCAACTACAGCTCAGCTCAGCTAAAATAAAAATATTTATAGAAAAGATATTTAAACACATTTCTTTAATCACTGCCAAATCATACTCTCTCACAATAGCTCCAATGGGTGAAACTCTTCTCCAATTACAGTTATTTTTCTCAAAATTGAATTCACGTCTTTCAATCTTTTACTTAACAGTGACTGCATGTTTCATGGTCCTTTTCTTAAAACATACATGTAAACCTTGTCTTAAAATAGTCAAAATGAAGGATGCAACTGACTGTAGCTTGACTGATGTGCTCTGAAATTCTCACCTAGTAGAACACTTTCACTAAACATATTACATGCACACATTGTTAATCTTTCATATCAGTATTTTTTGAGGCTGTATAATTTGAGTTTTATTTCCACAGAGATTACAAAAGAATAGTCTTTCTGCCTTCTACATCAGACAAGTGGTACTGTCTTTTACAGGAGACCTTACCATCATACGGTTTCTCTCCAGCATATTAATTAGTACTTGAACACAGACTTCATGGCAGAGTGGTCTTTCTACTGTATGAATCAAGTTTCTAATCTGTATAACACCATGTTCACAGGTAAGTCACAAATTTCATATCTGCGTTCATTGTTTCGTCTGTTGATTATATGATATTTTTGTTTCAACAGAATTCACAGTGATGTAAACATATTCAATTTGGTAACACAAATGGGTCTTGAAACTATAAAAATTATAAGAAAAAACATACCATTGAAAGATTATAATCAACATTTTTACTTAAAGAAACTTGAAAATGATAACAGAAAATAAAATAAAAAATTAATAACCTATGAAAACCTTTCATTTACTTTAAGTAATTAAAATTAATATATTCAATACTTTATAATTTGATTAAAGGTTCAGTCCAACCTAGTTACCCATAAATATAAATAACAAATATAACAAGGTTTTCAAAGATTAATACCATATACTACAAAATTAGCTATAAAGGAATGTTAAACAATTTCTTAAACATAATTTCTGTTCAAGCATTTTTTTTATTAAAAAATCATGAAACAAAAACTAATGTGTTATGAGGTAAAAAAATTAACTTGTTGTACTTCTTAAAGTTATGCTTACACTCATGTATTTGGTTTTGATAAAACCCTTACAATCTGACAATACATTTTCTTATATTTAATTTTCTTACTAATTCTAATGTTTCTTTTGTTATTAACCAAATGGTCACTAGAATATTTCACTGGATATAGCAGATATAGTGTAGGTGACATATTATTGCATAATCTTCTTTGCTCTCATTCCTAAGTTTTGAGAATTGTAGCAAATCAGTCTACATGTCTGTTCTTAACATTGTCTATACACTTTTCCTTGTTAGACTGTAAATTCATAACAAATGTATCAGAGATAAAAAAAATATATATATATATTTGAAGGTCAATTATGTAAATCTTAAAAAAGAGTCCACTGCTTACTATTTACTAATGGTTAATGTCAGGTGTTTACCTGGCCTTGTTGGGTAAAATATTAAGGCCAAATGTCACTCTAAACTTAATTATTACTTTACCTTTATGACAACTTGAGGTTTTCAACATAAACTGATCAGCATCAAGTCAATAAATTTATAAGTATGTAATCATTTTTGTATTGTTTTTGTTCTGCTTACTAGCTGTTTTTAAACTTGCTTTTCTTAATTCAAATATTTTCTTTTAATTACATGATTGGTAAACTAGTCAAGCTCTATTTATTTTTAAACAAATTTTGTTTCTTCTGTATTTAGCCATATTTAACCAGAAATCCAATAAATCAAAGATACAGTGAAGAAAAATTAGTTATTAAGTGCCTTTCCCAATAAGTAGAAGAACCTAAGCAATAAAGACAAGGGTAAAAAAGACAAAGAAAATTACACAAACAGGTAAAAATGTATTTTTAAAAACAGTATCAATAACAGCTAAGCCAACTATTGAAACCATGTAAACCAAATTAATAATTAAGCTGTTATTAATACAGTTTTCTAATTAATGGTTTCCCATTATTGGCTTCCCCTTTTTTTCTGTAACAAAGGTAAAGCCTTCCAAACCAGAGCCACTTTCCGCCTAATAATGCAGGCTAGAAAAAATAAATGAAATTATATATATGTATATATATATAAACACTTTTTATATGTAAGACACATCTTTTATGTATACAGAATGTTACTTTGGCATTTCCACAGAATAATATTGGAATTTGAGCTAAACTAAAGCCTAGGCTAAGGCTTAGTTAATACTACTATATTCTCATTACTTATTTTAACATAATTGAAAAGCACTGTTATATTGAACAGGAAAAACATGAGAATTTCGGACTTAATTGTTCCATCAATCACATGATATCACTATCTTCAGATTTCAAAATCTAGATAAATAGCTAAAAAACATCTGATAAGATTAATGAATTTCTACCTAAGAATGCATCTGTAGATAATTATATTAGTGCAACAAATATAAGTATGATAAATAAAACAAGTTTTGTTCCCTAAAATTTGATTTCATAGCTCACAATCACATTTGGTTATAGATTTCTAAAGCATATATTTATTACTTCTGTTCAGATATTCAAAACACCCTTATCAACCTAAACAGGTTAAACAAATCAAAATAAAAACCATTTCCAATTAGTAACTTATCCTAGCCTTTTAACAATTCAGAAAAATTTAGCTTCAACACCTTTAACACTTCTATGCTACAGTAAAATTAAGTGAATACATATATTCACAACTCAAGAAACATATCACTTTCATAAATGTATGTCCATTAATTCTAGCAGATTAGCATTATCTCTATAATAAGGATTCTAAGTCTGATATAGTCGACACTTAGGTTGTAAAATGTTAACATGCGAAATTCCTGAAATCTACTCACAGAAGTATGCTCTTACAATCAGGCATTTGACAGTCAGAGTTTTTTTATTTTCTGTTAATAAGGTAATGATTTTTTTCCCCTTTCTATTAAAAAGGAAAACAATGTCCCCTATCACTCTGAGCACTGGATAGTATTTCAAATAGAATCTAATAAGTCTTAAAAAAGTAACATTAGTTTTCATACTATTTAAAAATTTGCCAATTTTTTCCCATACTCCACAGAAATTACTTTCACCCAGATATAATACTAATAAAAGCTTCAAATCCATTTTCATTAAAATCAGGAACAATGCAACATTTATAAACACTAAATTTAAATTTAGGTAAAGTTATTCTGTGAAAAGTTGAGTCTTACAGTGAAAAAAAAAGTCACTCAAGTTATGGTCCAAAATTTGCATTGTTTAGGTGGC